AGTACACTGCTGAGGGGAGCAGCGGGCGGGTCAGGAGAGGTCTGCCATGCCATGTGGTCACCTCCGGGGCAGGCGGGAACCGAACTCATGCGGAGGTGGCTTTAGATTCTCAGTGCTGTGCTTTAACCCGCTGCGCCACCAGGGAGGGCCTATCTTACAGTAATTTTTCATTCTCATTTGATAAGTGAAACACCCAGAGGTTTTCCCAGCCTTCCTTGAAGTTAGCGTGCCGGAATGTAACCAGGTCCTGCAGTGTGTCCTGTTCTACACACTGAAATGAATCTTGGCAGTCAAAGAGTCAGAGATGTGGTGGTGACAGTGGTGACAGAGACCCCCGTGCCCAGGGATGGGCAGCACCTGGCTGGGCAGTCTGAACCGGATGTCCATGGACCATGTTAAGTGGCCATATTGTCCTCACGGACAGCAATTTTCTGCTTGAGTCAGTCAGGCCTTGCTCTAGTTGGTTACAGCCAGGAGGACCCACCCACACAGGTTCTTTCCAGGGAATGGGAGGTTAGTATTTCCTCAGGCAAAGCCTGTGTGTTCAGGTTGTGTGAAATGACCACTTTCAGCCACCAGGTGTCACCAGCCACGCCTGATAGCATTTTTTTCAGGCTACTGACATTGAGGTGAAAATGTTTAAAAAAATTTACAAAACTTTATTCAAAGACACTTAGAAAATCCTAAGCAAAAGAATAGAATCAAAGTATGAGATTTTATGAGCTATGTAGGTATATATTTCTGCTTCAAGGTAAGAAAATGAAAAATAAGCTTTCTCCTTGAATTTAAACTTCAATTCATGCTACAGAATTCTATATATGTGTATCCCTAGGAAAAAAATAACCTGTTCTACCATAACACTTCCTGATTTTGATTCAATTCAAAACATAGCTTTGCACTGATTATTGTTTCTTCTTCTGTCAGCCCCTCATCATCCACAGAACCATCCTCTGACTTATTACCAAGAGGTGCCAAGCACCTCTTTCCTCCTGCCCTAGAATGTTATTCTTCTCTTCTGTCAGGTTGATGGAAGGGGCACTTCCTGTGACAGCCAGGTGCCTGCTGAAATGCAAAGGTACCTCGAAGAGAGGCAAAATAAAGAAGTGAAATTTGATGCCAGTTTCTTCTGTTTGTTGTACTTCTCAGAATTCTGTTTCCTCTGCAGGTAGGTCACCCTCTGTCACTCTCCTAATTAAGCCTGGCTCTCTAGGAGCTCTCTGGCTCTCTCTCCTAAGCACCTCCCAGAGGCTTTCTTCAGTCCCCCACCCCCACCTTGTAATCCTTAGCTGTCTACTTCCACACCCTCCTTCCTCCACCAGGGAACCTCCCTGGGCCTGTCCATTCCAAATGTGTCCTTTGCTTCAGAATTCCTCTTAACTCCTTTCCTCACCCCACCCATATCATCAAATCCTCACTGCTGAGATCAACCCGTGTCTTAACCTGTTCATAATACCTGTGCAATTATCCCCTGTGGCCATGAGTCACCAATAGCAAACTTCCTTTTCTTTCCCCCTTCCTCCTCTCCCTTCTATAATCTTCTGGAGAACATTTGCTTCATTCATTTCAGGTGGATTGACTGAAATACACTGCTGAGGGGAGCAGTGGGAGGGTCAGAAGAGGTCTTTGTGCCATGTGGGTTAGCTCCCTGGCTGGGGATCAAACTTCTGTTGCTGCAGACAGCTTCATAGTGCTGAGACTTAACCCACTGTGCCACCAGGGAGGGCCCAGGTTTGCTTCTTTAAGCAAATCTCTGATGGGATTCTAGAAAGACTAGCAAGATACTGGGAGTGAGGGATGACTGAGGAGTTTACCTAGAAATTCTGCCCTGTATTTTTCTCTCCTGAAGAGTAAGGAGTTTGTTCTAGGAACATCCACAAAAGATCAGTTCCCTTCCTTCAAGAGGGCAATTGTGATGACATTTTGAAGGCCCCTGGATAAGTGATTCTCAGCAAAGTGACACAGCCATGAAAGGCAGAAGGTAAAGTAACTTTCTCCTCAGACCTTCTCCCAAGGAAGAGCCCCAGTAAGGAAGGTCCAGCTGCTACTGCTTTGCCCTGGCTTCACACTTCTGTTTTTTTCTGAACCCACAGGGAGGGAATAGGACTAAAAT